ACATCGTAGAACTGATAAAAATATGTTCAGCACATTTTCTATATTTCACCTACAGTTTTCATATGACTTATTTTTTGTGATTATCAAACAATTTCGATAGAAATTTTACGACAAAATGGAACGAAACGCTCACCTTGCGACGCCATTTCTTGGTTTACCCACAATGCACTAGCCAAGAATTTTCTTTTTTTGAACGTGTATTTTGTGGGTCAATTATTTTGTTGCTGTTTTTGTAATTATGGGAGTGATTTGTTACTTTTTAAAAAGCATTACCCTCAATAGTCATAAGAATATTAGCTTTCTTCAGCTCGAGTTTGTGAAATACGAGATAACACGCCAGAGTGTGGTTTGATCTACATGCTCCAAAAATATATTCTTAAAAAGGTGAAGCTGAAATTGACCCTCTGGAGCATAAATAGCAAAAACATCAAAACAACCCTGTCATCATGTATCGCGCTGGCAACTGTGAAGTCGATCAGCGCAGTTAGTATGCGAAACAATACCGAAGCGGGTACCAATCAGTATCATATAAGCAACATGGCGCTACCCATGAGCGAAGTGAGAGGCAAAGCTGCTTCAATTTGTGAGGCAAATTCTCAGCTTCCAGCGTGGATGAAAGCTGAAGAAAAAACAGGGGTAAACAATTGTCTGATTTATAAATAAAAACAGATTTTTTGTTTATTGTGCAGGCGTAGCTGTGTAAAATTGTTGGTATATCGAGTATTAATCCAGAGTACTGAGTAACATGCCTAATCTAGCAATGCTAATGTATCGTTATACACGTTATTGTACGTCATCAGCCTCATCGTGATGGCTAGCCTAGTAGTACATGTAGGTAGTCGTAAATTGTACTAGAAATAAATTATTTCTACAATTTATAGAGTGTCTGCTTGGATCGGCCTAACAGTACAGGTCTTTCTTCCTGTGTGGTATGCTTGAGTAGACACATAACGTGCATTAGTACTTCTTTGTCATCTAAATCTGCATGTACATGTAAATAACAAAACATGTCCTCTGTGAGGCCCTCAGTTTTTCGTTCCTGTACTATCGCTGTAGGCCTAACTCTTTTTTGTAGTATCAACAATTTTGATTTTTGCATTACCTGTGAGTTTTCAATTGCCAGTGTGAAGTTAGCCTAAATTTTGTTTAAAGAAAGGATGTTCTTCACGCAGAAACTTTGCAAATTCAAAATTACCCCTAGAGCTCAACGGTATGATCCAAATATGGTGGTTGTTTGTGAAAACAGCCTGGTGAAAGGAGTTTTCATCAACAAAGAGTACAATTTCCACGCAGTAAAGCTCCCGTGTTTCAAGACATAGGCCTACTTGTATTTTCTTCTTTGCTTATAATTATTGTAATTGAATCAACTAAGAGTGGGATTTTTAGACTTTCCCACATGTAATCTGACGTGAAAGTGTGGTCATTAAGCATGATCACGCATGCACATGCAATAGGCCTACTCGTTCTAGGGTCACAGACACGCGTGGACTGCAACTCTTTTTTCATGAATCTGCAATGCTACATTGTCGAGGAGGCACATTACTCCTAGGTAAATTCACTGATCACTCCAAGCCTTTGAAAACTACTCCTTTTTTAAGGAATGAGAACCTTTCATCAATGTTTTTGAATTGTTTGTGAATGGGGAAGGTTAGGGCCAGCAATCCTTGGGGGGTTAGAGTTAATAGCTATGGTCTTTAAAATGTGGACATAATTTGTTCTCTCACTACAGACGACTATTATGGCTGTGGAGTTTGACGGAGGGGTGGTCATAGGGGCAGATTCCAGAACCACATCTGGGTGAGTCCATAGGCTGGGAAACTCTGTGTAAAACCACCTTACTAGACAGAGTTTTGTGTGTACCTGCTGGGTTTTGGTGCACTTGCTCAGTTTTACCTCTGGTCATTTTTGGCGTGAGTTTTGGTTTTGGGTCGCTGTTCAGGTTTCAGGCTACTGCTCATCGTTTATTCTTATTTACGTAACTGCACAGCTGTTGTATAATGAATGATTGCCCACCAGTGTTATCTTCAGTGGTATGAGCAAGGTGACGTGTGAGGAGGCACCTGGTGGTGGACTCATGCTTTCTAAGGGTCCTCCTGAAAGGAAATTAACTTTGCCTCGTACATCTGTAGGCTGTGTACGTTTCAAGATGTCAGGAGAAACCAGGGGAAGGGGGTTTCATATCCACCTAGCCCAGGTTGGACGTTGTCTTCATTTACATGTACACTACGACTAATGTATTTTGCTGGAAATTTAGCGAAACTCCACACTTTCCGTCACGATCTACGTTCGTCTGGTACGTGTGCTTGCACGTGAGCGAAATGCATGGAAACTGACCGTCCCTATACATGCGCAGAAGAGCCGTGGGCGTGAAGAAGTCACAGATGAGACTTTGTCCGAAATGGGCTTCCAAAGCTATGGCTAGGTCTGTTGTCTGCCCATCTCCACGCATTTTCCCATGGAGTGCAAATGCAAAGTACTAGACGAACGCAGGTTGTTCAGGAATCACGACAGAAAGCGTGGGGTTTCGCAAAATTTCCTGCAAAATACGTTGTCCGCGGACGTGTTTAGTAATTTCAACACGGCATTTATGGAATTCGGGACACAAGGTACTTGTGAAGGACATTTAACCCTAACCCCCTAGGCTCCTGCACTAGAAAGCATACTGAACCTCAC